AGTAACTATCAAACCATTTAAATCCTTTTATATTATAACTTGGATTAAGAAATTGAAAAAAGAAAAGTTTTAGAATATTAATCAATATTCTCCCCCTTTATAATCACTATTAATCTTAAATATATTATTTAGTCACGAATAATTTAGTATTTTAGTATATTGTCTATACGATCCTAGTATATATATGTATAAATAGACTAGTAGTACATGTCTTTTATAATCAATCTTCCTTTAACTTTTGTAGCCGTCATTGTAAAGCAATAAAATATATTCTCTCATTCTTTCTATTCTTCATCACCTTGTGCACTAACAATTGATATTTAGAGCTATGTTTGGATCCACTGGGAAACACTGGAAACACGAGTGAAATCGTGAAGTGTTGTGTGATTGATTTTGATTCTTGATTTCGTATTGAATCTTAAATGGAATCGTAACAGAATCATATTTTCTGATTTTGCCGAGTTGGGAAATACTGCGTTTGGTGAGATCTTAGTGACTTGCACAAGGTTGAATATGAACAAAAATGTTAGTATGATCACCAAACTTCCAGTGTTCGATGGCAAGAACTGGAATTATTGGATGATTCATATGTGTGTGTTGTTTGACGCTCAAGATGTTCTTGATCTTGTCAACGATGGTTATGTGTCAGTTGTACTTTCAGAAAATGCAACGGATGCGCAGAAAAATGCTCAGCACGATCTAAGGAAGAAAGATTAGAAGACGTTGTTCTACATCCATCAACGTGTGGATGTGAACATATTTGAGAAAATCGTTGATTCGTCCATGGAGAATGATGCGTGGGACACACTAGTTAGGTGTTACGATGGTAACACATCAGTGAAGAAGGTGAAACTTCATTCTCTATGAAAACGATATGAGAATCTCAACATGAAGGACAATGAGAAGGTATCTGAGTACATCTCCAGAGTGATTATAATCACTAATGATATGAATGTTTGTTGAGAAACTCATTCTGAACAAGTAATTATTTAGAAGATATTGAGGTCTCTTACCCCTCAATTTTATTATATTGTTGTAGTAGTTAAATATTATAAAGATCTGGACACCAAGAGAATAGAAGAGCTGCAAAGCAGTCTAGAGGCGGAAGAGTTGCATTTGACTGAATGAACTTCTGAGAGGGAGATTGAGCATGCTCTGAAAGCTTCTTTTATGCCCTTTTGCACCTTAGTGTCAATGAACACATAATTAGGCTTTTAAGCCCTTTTATAATTTAGTGTTAATGAACACATTATTCCTTTTTGTAATAGGTGTCAAAGAACACATGTTTTATGATGAAAAGTCTTTTGTTAAAGCAATATTGCTGAAATACTTATTTACATGGTTCTACATAAAACTACAACATTACGTTTTTCTGTAACATAAATCTAAGAAACATTACATACCCTATTTTATTTCATTGTTTCAGTTAAGTCCCTTATGTAATAATATTGCTTCACTTTAATCATCCTTCTGCAACATAACAAACCACTAAATAACACATAATAGAAGAAATGGTAAAACACTGATATAACAATCCAATCATTTCATTAAAGCAACATCAATCTTACATACTTTCACAACATTGACCATAAATCTATTTCAAATACATTGTTATTAAGACTAAATAAAACCTTAGACTAATAATGGAAAACACTGTCGCATTTTTCAACAGTCCTTTAATGCTCAAAACCTCATTCTTCAGCTTTAATATTTTCTTCTTTTTCCTTTCAAGCTTCAAATTTCTTCCATCAATAACTTCATCCCCTACCCATTTTAAAAAATTGCATCCCTTCTCCAATTGATTCTTGTAATTCCTACAGCCCCAAAACTTTTTCCCAATATTGACACTATTGAGATCTGTAACAGTATACATCACACATTCTTCTTGGCACTAACATTACACCATTTTGTTTCTTATCATCACATATCCAAATGACCCACAACTTTGAGTGTTTGATTTTGAGTAGTTACTGGAGTTCATTGACATCTTCGTAGAATCTTCGTTGGTCGTTGGAATCGTGAGCATGAAGAATGAGGAAGGAGAAGATGAATAGTGGCTATAATTTAAAAATGGAGCCTGGGCATTTAACGACGACACAACGTTAATATGATTTCATATGCTGAGTCACAATTTCATACTAATCCTAGTTGTCATGCCACATCACCCAACTTAACATTTTCACAGCCAAATTTATGGATTGGACCAACTTAGTTAACGAAAGTTTTGTTAAAGGACTTAGTTGTAACTTTTATTATCTAAGAGGCCAAACTAAAAACTGAAATTAAGTTATGGGACTTCAGGACTAATTAAGCCTAGATATTATATTATTATTATTATTATTATTATTATTATTATTATTATTATTAATAATAATTATTTTTGTTTAATGTTATATTATTATTATTATTATTTATTTAAATATAAGGTTTGTATAATTAGAGTTTGTACTTAGAATTGTTACCAATATGACATGTGGCTATGATTGTTACCAAGATGACATGTGACTAGGATTGCCATCATGACTTCTTGAGATTTATAGTAAGTATATAGACAACGTATAGATTATAAATTCATATGACATTTTAAATCTTTTTGGTAATGGTCTTTTCATCATGCGCTTATAACTTATTTCATTGTCTTATGGGTGAAATGGATTACTAAATCTGTGTCGACTGCTACAGTGTCGATTTTAGAGAATGGGATCCCAACTAATGAGTTTAGGTTGGAAAGGGGTTTCTGTCAGGGTGACTCGTTATCTCCTTTTCTTTTTCTAATCGCAACTGAGGTTTTCCGTGTGTTAACGAATGTTGTGGTTGAGGGTGGTATGTTTTCTGGCTATAAAGTGGGTTTTGGTGTAGGTTTTCCAATTTCTCCTTTATAGTTAGCAGATGATACTTTATTGATGGGTTCCAAGAGTTGAGAAAATGCTTGGGCTCTTAAGGAGGTGTTGCTTTTATTTGAATCTATATCTAGGTTAAAAGTTAACTTTAACAAGAGCATGTTGGTGGGGGCGAATATTTCTAATTCTTGGTTGATGGAGGAATCTTTGGTGTTAAATTGTAAAGTAGGTGTGATTCCATTTGTGTATCTGGGGTTTCCTATTTGGGGAATTCCGCGCAAGCTTAATTTTTGGCTTCCATAGTTGGACAGAATCAAAAGCAGGTTTTTTGGGTGGAGAAGCCGTAATCTATCGTTAGTGGTTCGTTTGGTTTTTTTGAAGTCTGTTATATCCTCTATCCCAGTTTATTTCCTTTATTTCTTCAAGGCTCCCGTAGGTATCATCTCTTTCCTTTAATATTTAATTAATGCCTTTTTTGTGGAGGGGGGGGGGGGTTAGGGAAGGTTGTAAGAAAATAACATGGATTGATTGGAATATTGTTTGTTAGGGTAAGGAGAATAGTGGGTTGGGGTGAGCAGGTTGACAGAGTGTAACAAGACTTTATTGGGGGAAATGGGAGTGGAAGATGTTCGAGGAGAGGGGAGGTCTTTGGTATAGGTTTTAGTTCATCGGTATGGTGAAGTCGGGGGCAGTTGAGGTTTGGGGTAGTTGGAGGGTCTGTTTGCTGGCATACTGTGAATATGAACTGTCAAGGAGGTGGGATGATTGAAAATTAGTGGCTCCTAGATAACATTGAGATATTTGTTGGGAATGAGGCGAGTTCTATGTTCTGGAGTGATCATTGGTTGGAGGGAGGGCATTGTTGACTAGATTCTCTAGGATTTATGAGTTATCTGAGTATAACGGTGCGTCAGTAGCAGAGATGTTTGCTTTAGGATGGGGAGTGGATGGTAAGGTTGGTGGTGGCATAGGAGGTTGTTTGCATGGGAGGAAGAGTTGGTTGGGGAGTGTATTAAGTTGTTTGATTATTTTGTTTTGCAGAACTCGATTAAGGATACTTGAGTGTGGAAACTTCATCCTTCAAAATGGTATGATATGAGCAATGTTTATCATTATTTGACGAACTCGGTGGATTCTCATCATTCCGGTGATTCGCACGCTTGGTGGTCTAAAGGGGTGCCTCTAAAGGTTAATATTTTTCTTTGGCGGTTATATCGTAATAGACTACCGATGAAGGATAATTTGGCCAGGAGACATGTTATTAGAACAGAGGAGTAGAATTGTATACCAGAGTGTGGTCAGTATGAGGATTTGGATCATATGTTTGTTCGGTGTGGATTTTATGGTAACATTTAGTGTGTGATTTCAGGCTGGTTAGGTTTTTCGCCTGTTTCTCATGGCTATCTTCGGGAACAACATGAACACTTTGTGGCTTTGGACGGGTGGTCAAAATCAGGTCGTGACGCCTTTCAAATCATTTGGGTAACAGTGGTTTAGTGCATTTGGAAAGCGCATAATCAATGGATTTTTCAAAATATTATTTATTAGTGAATTCTATTTGTGAAAAGGTTAAGATTCAATATTACAGTGTATAGTTACAACTGTTTTATAGTTTTGTTTATGTTTTCAATGTTATTTTTCGGTCATGTTGGCGTAGTAAATACACTATTGTATATCTTCTAGTACTATTTGTGCCGGAAGGTTTTTATTTTATTTTTAATATAACATTTTAACTTCTTAAAAAAAAGTTTTAGATGCTATTTCAATTTTATTTTCTGCTAAATTTAATTTTGTTATTTATAATCATAGATATTTAACAATATTGAATCATAATTCAATTTTATGTTATAACTTATTTGTAGTATTTTTTTTTAATTATTGATGTATCGCCAACTCTAAATAACAGTTTTATGGATAATTGGATACACATTTTTCGATTAAAGCGAATAAATTATTTTATTTTTAATATTTTTAAGTATGTATAATGTAACGTATAAAAGTATACTCTTCAAAGAACAGGAAGAAATCATGACAATATTACTTAATTTCACTATAATTTTTATTTTTCAACTTATTTTGCTGTTGTTGAAATTATAATAATTGTGGTGTTTGTATGTAGTTATACAAACACTGTAGAAAGTAAAATTATAAAACATGAAACTATTTATGGCAGCAACAAAAATTCTTTTTACACTCTCCGTGTAGGCTACCTGGATATGTTGCACATTTGTATAAACACGCTCGGAAATCACACTCCAACCCTGACCCTGCTGCCTTCCAACAACAATAATCTCCACATATATCAGGAGGAGCTAAATAATCAATTGGAGAGATTGAAGAACTAGTCACACCTGATGCCAACACTACAACAATGCATAGAATGGCAAAGGTGTAATGGAGAGTGTTGACGCGAGTAGCCATTTATTTCTATGTTGAAAGATACACAATCAACAACTTGAAATACGCTGTTATTTAAGGTTTTTTCTTTTTTGTTTTAAAAAAAAAAGAAAATTACACTGATGTAAGATTTTTGTTTTTTAAGTTATTCCCTATGGTCCTATTTATAACATAAAATTTTTATTTAAATTAATTAAATAATCAATGGATTGGATATATTGATTACTTAAATAATATAAAATTTTAATTTTTTTCTCATAAATATGACTAAAGGGAGTAAAATAAAGTTCTTGGAACTTTTGATAAAAATATTTTTATTGAACATATTTTATACTGTATTTTTTTAAATATTTAATTATTTGGTGAAACATTTATTTATATTTATAAGATCTTTAAAATATACTCTTTTCATTCTATATTATAAGAAAATTTTGTCTTATATATATATATATATATATATATATATATATATATATATATATATATATATATATATATATATATATATATATATATATATATATATATATATATATATATTGTTATATTTACAAATAAAATAAAGAGTTAAGTTTCATTTTAGTTCATAGAAAAAATTGTAAAGTGAAAAAAAATAAAATACACTTTATTCCCAAGAAAAATAAATCGGAAAAACTTAGTCTCTATCTAATTTTCTTTTTGTTTGGATGATGAATAAAATATAGAGAACAAAAATATATGCAATGAACATTCTTAAGCAATAAAAAATAAAAATAATTATTATATTTGTCATTTCTAATAGAAAAGAAATATAAATAATATAAAAAATATAAATAATAATATCATATTTTACAAAAACAAAGATAAATAATTTCTATATAAATAATTTACGATAGAAAATAAATAAAATAAATAAATATAATTTTAATATATATTTATCATTTCTAAATAAAGTATAAAAAATATAAATCACTTTTATTTAAATAATTTATAATAAGGAATAAATAAAAATTAGAAATACGATTGTAATATATATTTATCATTTCTAAAATATATATGTTAAAAATCTCTCTCTTCTACATTTCAGATTTAAATTTAAAGAGTAAATTAAAATTTTCAAATTTAAATTACAAAGTAAATATTTAACTTAATATAATTAAAATAGTCATATTTTTATAGTCATAAAATTATGTATTAAGCTCATTTATATAAAACTTATTCTTGTTTATATAAATAATATATTGATATACCAAATGAATATTTGAACTACATTTTTTTTTCTATTTTGTAACTTCTATTATAGTAATAATAAATAGAATAAATATTTGAATTTATCTTGTAATTTCTATTTATCTATTTATAATAAATTTAAGGTTGTTATAATGACAATCTTAGACAAAACCCTAGCCTTATGTTTACGTGGCAAGCTCTCACAAAACTTTTCAATTTAAACCAAATTTTCCAATTTTTTTAATATTTTATATAATTTTATATTTATTTTAAATATAAATCTCAAATATTTTTTTCTTAAAAAAATTGTCAAACAAAACTGTCATTAAAATTTTATAATTTATATTCCAATTAACATTCTTTAAATTTTTGTACTACTATTAAAACTCTTATTACCAATATATATTATTAACTCTCAAACTATTTTATCCATTTTACAAAATTAATAGTCATTTTAATTAATTAAAACTAAATATTTGACTAAATAATTTTAATTACAAATTGAATTATACATTAAGATGAATATTTTTCATTTATTTTTTTAAATACATATAATATTAATAATAATAATAATAATAATAATAATAATAATATTAATAATGTAAAATTTAAAAATTAATTAACTTTTATAATTCAATTTAATAAAAATGAAAAAAGTATCCATATAAAAAAACTTCTTTCAATAATAGAAAATAATCTTCCTTTAATGATTTTAAATTAATATTTTTATATAATATTATTTAGACAAATATTTAATAAAATATAACTTTTATTAATAAGACCTTTCATTTGTTTTTGAAATCCTATTTCTTTTACCTTTGATTGCATTGAAATAAATAATTAATTTAGATTAAATATATTTTAACCACTCATTTATTTACAATCAATCAAGTAACTATCAAACCCTTTAAGTCCTTTTATATTATAACTTGGATTAAGAAATTGAAAAAAGAAAAGTTTTAGAATATTAATCAATATTCTCCCTCTTTATAATCATTATTAATCTTAAATATATTACTTAGTCACGAATATATATATATATATATATATATATATATATATATATATATATATATATATATATATATATATATATATATATATATATATATATATATTATTGAAGGGTAATTTAGTATTTTAGTATATTGCCTATACGGCCCTAGTATACGTGTATAAATAGACTAGTAGTACATGTCTTTTATAATCAATCTTCCTTTAGCTTTTGTAGCCGTCATTCTAAAGCAATAAAATATATTCTCTCATTCTTTCTATTCTTCATTACCTTGTGCACTAACAATTGATATTTAGAGCTCTGTTTGGATCCACTGGGAAACACGAGTGAAATCGTGAGGTGTTGTGTGATTGACTTAGATTCTTGATTTTGTATTGAATCTTGAATGGAATCGTAACAGAATCATATTTTCTGATTTTGCCGAGTTGGGAAATACTGCGTTTGGTGAGATCTTAGTGACTTGCACAAGATTGAATATGAACAAAAATGTTAGTATGAGCACCAAACTTCCAGTGTTCGATGGCAAGAACTGGAATTATTGAATGATTCATATGTGTGTGTTGTTTGGCGCTCAAGATGCTCTTGATGTTGTCAATGATGGTTATGTGTCGGTTGTACTTCCAAAAAATGCAACTGATGCGCAGAAAAATGCTCAGCGTGATCTAAGGAAGAAAGATCAGAAGACGTTGTTCTACGTCCATCAGCATGTGAATGTGAATATATTTGAGCAAATCGTTGATTCGTCGATGGCAAATGATGCGTGGGACACATTAGTTAGGTGTTACGGTGGTAACACATCAGTGAAGAAGGTGAAACTTCATTCTCTATGAAAACGATATGAGAATCTCAACATGAAGGACAACGAGAAGGTATCTGAGTACATCTCCAGAGTGATTATAATCACTAATGATATGAATGTTTGTTGAGAAACTCATTCTGAACAAGTAATTATTGAGAAGATATTGAGATATCTTACCCATCAATTTTATTATATTGTTGTAGTAGTTAAATATTATAAAGATTTAGACACCAAGAGAATAGAAGAGCTACAAAGCAGTCTAGAGGCGGAAGAGTTGCATTTGACTGAAAGAACTTCTGAGAGGGAGATTGAGCAGGCTCTGAAAGCTTCTTTTATGCCCTTTTGCAGCTTTGTGTCAATGAACACATAATTAGGCTTTTAAACCCTTTTATAATTTAGTGTCAATGAACACATTATTCCTTTTTGTAATAGGTGTCAAAGAACACATGTTTTTATGATGAAAAGTCTTTTGTTAAAGCAATATTGCTCAAATACTTATTTACATGGTTCTACATAAAACTACAACATTACGTTTTTCTGCAACATAAATCTAGGAAACATTACAGACCCTATTTTATTTCATTATTTCAGTTAAGTCCCTTATGTAATAATATTGCTTCACTTTAATCATCTTTCTGCAACATAACAGACCACTAAATAACACATAATAGAAGAAATGGTAAAACACTGATATAACAATCCAATCATTTCATTAAAGCAACATCAATCTTACATACTTTCACAACATTGACCACAAATCTATTTCAAATACATTGTTATAAAGACTAAATAAAACCTTAGACTAATAATGGAAAACACTATTGCATTTTTCAACAGTCCTTTAATGCTCAAAACCTCATTCTTCAGCTTTAATATTTTCTTCTTTTTCCTTTCAAGCTTCAAATTTCTTCCATCAATAACTTCATTCACTGCCCATTTTAAAAAATTGCATCCCTTCTCCAATTGATTCTTGTAATTCCTACAGCCCCAAAACTTTTTCCCAATATTGACACAATTGAGATCTGTAACAGTATACATCACACACTCTTCTTGGCACCAACAATACATCATTTTGTTTCTTATCATCACATATCCAAATGACCCACAACTTTGGGTGTTTGATTTTGAGTAGTTACTGGAGTTCATTGACATCTTCACAGAATCTTCGTTGGTCGTTGGAATCGTGAGCATGAAGAATGAGGAATGAGAAGATGAATAGTGGCTAGAATTTAAAAATGGAGCCTAAGCATTTAACAATGACACAACGTTAATATAATTTCATATGCTGAGTCACAAATTCATACTAATCCTAGTTGTCATGCCACATCACCCAACTTAACATTTTCACAGCCAAATTTATGGATTGGACCAACTTAGTTAACGAAAGTTTTGTTAAGGGACTTAGTTGTAACGTTTATTATCTAAGAGGCCAAACTAAAAACTGAAATTAAGTTATGGGACTTCAGGACTAATTAAACCTAGGTATTATATTATTATTAATAATAATAATAATAATAATAATAATAATAATTGTGGTTTAATGTTATATTATTATTATTATTATTATTTATTTAAATATAAGGTTTGTATAATTAGAGTTTGTACTTAGAATTGTTACCAAGATGACATGTGGCTATGATTGTTACCAAGATGACATGTGAATAGGGTTGCAATCATGACTTCTTGAGATTTATAGTAAGTAGATAGACAACGTATAGATTATAAATTCATATGACATTTTAAATCTTTTTGGTAATGGTCTTTTCATCACGCGCTTATAAGTTATTTCATTGTCTTATGGGTGAAATGGATACTAAATCTGTGTCGACTGCTACAATGTCGGTTTTAGAGAATGGGATCCCAACTAATGAGTTTAGGTTGGGAAGGGGTTTCTGTCAGGGTGACTCATTATCTCCTTTTCTTTTTCTAATCGCAATTGAGGGTTTCCGTGTGTTAATGAATGTTGTGGTTGAGGGTGGTATGTTTTATGGCTATAAAGTG